AATACGATATATATATACGATGAGTTGTCGTTTGCGTCCTGCTCACAAATTAAGTGGTTTATCTTATTCTCTGAACACACATTCATACAGCTGCGTGGCCTACATTTTTTTAGTATTATAGCTGCACTCGAATGTTGATTAGATCACGAGTAGTCTTGGTTCTCGAACTCCATTCGTCGCAACTGGTTCAGTACGATAGTGCCTTTTGTATACGCACCTGTATGATGACGAGCTCAAGAGAACTGTTCTATTGAATCACATATACTGTAGGTCGTAGTGCGGCGTTTACCAGCAGGGTTCACCGAGGAGGATGCAAGGGGCACCTTAGCGAGCTTTGATGGCTCCTATGGTCTTTTCTACTTTGTGAAGGCAGCTAAAGGATTGAAGACACATTCTTTCGCTAGATTCTACATCGAATTTAAGGTATTGGTAGCGTTTCGCAACACATTATGACTAGAACGTTTGTTTACCACTGACTGATGCTAATATTCTAACTGTAGTAGTCAATAATATTTCGTGGCTAAGTTTCCCCCAATTTATTGGCTATATATTTTTACTCCCAAACTATCAGTAAGACGACTTGTGATACTCCATATTCTTATCGAGTGACTGCGTGTCGATATGCGAGCACAGTACCCCGGTTTAGATCACATGAGTGCTCTAAGGAAAGCACGAGCGTTTTCACGGCAATTCTTCACATCCGTCTAATCAAGTTATCAAAATCAAATTCTATTGTTCAAAATTACAGAATATAGATAGTGTGCGAGCCTACTCGCAGTTTATGTCCACTGCCCATCTGGCAGATGGAGACGGGAATCCAATCATGCCCGTGGTCGAATTCGCCCCAAACCAAAGCAACGGCTTGTTACAGTCCAAGACAAAACGTTCAGCCGGGAATCCCAATGCGTCCAAAGGCAAATCGCGGAAAGCGGATTACCGAGCCAACACCCTGGAAACGGACAAAGACTACCTTGCTTTTCTAGAGGTGCTCTCTGCTGAGCGAGAAGAGATCTACAACGCCAATTTACATACTGAAAGTGACAAACCGAAGGTGGACAGTAAGGAAGTTGTGGCGACGCCGTTGTTGGATTTTATCAAGACAATCAAGAGTTCTCGGAAAGGTGGTTCTGGGACGGGCTCCTCTGACAAGCGCAGCAACAGGCGGAGCGAGAAGACCGGAACATCCAGCACATCGCAATCCAGCAGCAGCACCACAAAGAAACGCCGAGAACGCGACCCAGAGAAGCGCGAGGATCAGAAGGTCTACAAGGTCAAGAGAAGTACTAGGCCCAGTGGTGACGGGGAGAAGGTGAGTTCAGTGTATAGGTTTTAGGTTTTGTTCTCCTTTATAAGCGTGTAGCCTTCTGAGCAAGGTTGGTGGTCGGGAGGAGGGGGGGGGGGCGTGTCTCTATTGCGCTACTCGGAACTCCAAAATAGCATGTTCACTCTATGGAAAGGCTCCATTAAAAGGACCTCACTCGGCTGTGTACCTACCTACGTTTCATAATTGTAGCGTGTAGCATTGTTCCCAGTATATATTCCTAACGATACAACATACCGAGGACTACCATCTGACTTCTGGTATCAAGAAGAATATTGCTTTCTAGAGAAGTGTCATAAATTGAACGTTTCTTTCGAGCATGTCGTAGTATGGCAAGGCACGGTGTACGGGGGTGTGCTTGCCAGCACATAGGTCATTCTGCAACTGTAGTCTCTCCACCGAGGTGGGTACTTAACACCTGGGTATTCTGCACTCATATCTGTGTATGTTTACGTTCTTACCACAGCGTGCGTCGAACAAGAAGTCAGCCTTTGGCGGCGATCTCACGGCTGAAACTAGCAAGGGCGATACCGCAGTCAGAGGTTCAACTTCATCACCAGTCAAGAAAAAGGAACGCAAACGTCGGTCAGACAGAGCCACCGGCGAGACTGAGGCGTCTGCTGGGGATGGCCCTGGCAATGGCAAGGAGAGGCACACGTCGTCGTCTACTTCGTCCTCTTCTAAGAGACGGTCAAACCGAGACCCGGCCAGCACTGGGGGCTCGAGCAGAGGGGCTGCGACATCGGCCACGGCACCAGGCGGTGCAACCGACTCAACCACCAAGAAGACGAGCAAGCCACCGTCGGCAGCCTCGGCGGAGTCCAGGGCCAAATCCTCGAAGAGTGGGTCTGGATCCGGGTCGCGTTCGCGTCGAGGTGGTGGTGGTAGTGCGAACAAGACCAGTAGCAACCCCCCTGCTTGAGTGTAGGCGTGCGAGTTTTTCTAACGGTCAGCGATCTTATCTTTTCGTCGGGTGACGCCTGCGACGGGTCAGTTGCACTACACATCACGACGGGGCAGATTAGTGGTACAACCCGTGCGCTCTGGCAAGACGAAAGCTAGTGGCATTGAAGGTCCAGGGGGTGGGGTGGTAGTATGACAAGGGTGTGAGTGAGTACAGGGCGATGTATGTCAACCACAGATCGCGTACAGATCCAAGAAGCATCGGGTCTGCTCCTCAATGAGAGCTGGCGAGCGAGCCTACAGAGTCCCGCCGCGATACTGCGCACGAGCATTCGCAGAAATGTGAGACGACCCTACTTGTCAACATGATGTGTCCACGCACCTTACCTGACATATGAAGATACGAATACTCTGTAGTCATGGCTCCGCTGCTTGGCACCTCAAGATGCGCTTCTCTGCGCAAGGTGTCATAAAGAGTAGTCCGCAATTACAGGATCGGGATTGCATATCGACTACTGTGTACACTCATCGCGTGTTGCGACCTAGCGAGAGCAGAAATAAAGTTATGACTTTATCATTCTGAATGTCGCGTTTATCCGCCCCGTTTCGCTAATGAATTGAATTCGAAGTATTACGCGTAAGCACACTACTTCACCAATACCAAACCAATACCAAAGTAACAAATACTGACAGGCGTTCGAAAAAAAAAAAGGGTGGGTATCAATCAGTAGTATATCGGTCAAGTGCCTGTCACTACTATGGGGCTGTCGTAGTCTGGTCATGCAGTGTATGATCATCTAGACCCAAGTTTTTCTCCATTGTTCTAGATCCATGATTTTCTCCATTGTAAACCATTAAGATCATGATTCTAGATCAACGTTTTTCTCCATTGTAAACCGGTAAATTCATGGTTCTAGATCCACGGTTTTCTCCATTGTAAACCACTAAGATCATGTTCCTAGATTCACGTTTTTCTCCATTGTAAACCAGTAAGGTCATGATTCTAGATCCAGGTTTTTCTCCATTGTAAACCAGTAAGATCATGTTTCTAGATTCACGTTTTTCTCCATTGTAAACTAGTAAGATCATGGTGACAGTTGAAAGCGAGTAACACGTTTCTCAACCATGCGATCAGCAACTGGGAACGGGGCAATGCCAGGCATGCCCATTTTTTTTTGATTGCTGAAGCTGTCGTGTCTATAGAAAGTTCTAGTATCTTAACCACTTGAGTGGATACCATGAGCCTTCTGCATGAGCGTTTCAGACGATATGAAATTTCTATACAATTATACTACAACCAAACAAGCTGAAACGGTGAATATAGTGTGTGTTTCCACCCCCTCCCCCCCTCCACCCCACCATTGCAACGACGTCTGTTGCAGATCTACTTGATGTATTAGTAATAGTCAATAACAGTGTATTGCTTTATAGGTTTGAAACAAGCTACCTTATATGCAAAGCAATTGGCATATTAACAAAGAGTGGACAAATCATCCCCCCAGGCACAGGCTGTGGGACTAAAAAAGGTATACAAAGTAATTGATGATTGCTGTTGTTTATGCCTGTTTGCCGTACATGTCATTGAGACTAATCGCTAAACCGTGCCAGTCGGACTGTGTCTCCGATGTGCTCAATAGTTTCGTGAAAGCTCGTCTGGCTTGTCGATTGTCCTTTTTCATCACACTCAACACGCCCTGAACCGAGAAGGACGGAGGAAGGCGTACGTTAGATGCTATATAGTATGGTCCGCCCATTTTTTTTCGGGTAGACAGCAATATGAGTATATATGTGAATATCATACACTTGCTTTTTTAATCGTTTCAAAGAAAGCCATTACGAATGTTTGAACAGATTTACAAAAAAACAAGACTGGATGTATGCACATATATGCATATTATTATCGACAATATGTACCATGTCGCGCGCTCAAACAGATACATAAAATATCATTGTATAAAGAAATACGTAAATATACATAATATATATTGTACATGCACAAAAACATTAAAAAAAAACACACAAACACATAAACATACACACATACAACCATAAACTACTAACTACTACTACTACCACTATACACACACACACACACACACACACACACATATATATAGACTAATATATAGTCATACTATAACTACTTAACCTAACTACTAAAAAAACTCTAACTAATAACCTAATAACTAACTAATACTTAAACCTAA